GTTTCATATTCCAATCCAAGACCATTCAGCACCTTTTTTGCGCTTTTATGATCTTTAGGTAGACAATTGTCTTTTGGAAGCATCTTCTTGAAAATGCTCAAAGAGTAATCAAAACACTGTTCGACATACGAAACTTTATTTTGCCATGTATCAACTCAACAATGGCCGTGAGCACCGAAAATCCTTCGTAGCAGGGGTATAATTCTTGGTTGACACTTTTTAATAGTTTCTCATATTTTTTTCAAATGTTTCACTGTCCATGGTGGGAAGGGTGTCATCTTCTACTTCCTTATTCGTATTCGAACTAGCGTTTGGAAAAACATCATTAATAATGTCCGTAATTTGTTCATTTGGGTCCACAACAGATTCAACTGTCCCACTGCTCGGGGTAATGTGTGAGGATGAAGCATGTTGTATTTGTTCTCCATGACGATTCCACATAGTATAGGTCTCCATCATCCCATTTATGACTAAATGGTATTGAACAGTTACAAAATATTCAATTATTGAGTTGTTACACTTTCTACAAGAACACCAAATTTGAGTTGAACCCCGGTTGTTTGCAATTGCAAAATCAATGAACTGATTTATTCCATCCAAATAATCATCAGCATATTTGTTAGGATTATGTTTCCACCGTTTGTCCATACCACCTGTAAACATAAAAAATTTACAAGGGTTACAACAACTTCAATTATGACATGCCACCTTATGCCTCCATTATGGGTCCTATCTCATTCGAGAATGCACAGTTATGTGATGTAATTTATGGTTCCAACACATTAGAGTTCGATCGTGGGTAAATTTTGGCAGCATCTCCCTGCAGTTCTTCAAGTACACGATGTAGATACAAAAAACTACGATGCACCCGAAGAATGCAAAGAGATGCTACCAAATTTTCCATGTTCAAACTCTAACGCGTGAACCGCAAAATACAACATTTAATTGTTCATTCTCAAATTATCCAAAACTTTGGGACAATTCAAGAACTAATTGGACTGCAGTCATGTTTTTGCGTCCATTCGCAAAATCCAACTAATTCTCGTGAGAAACTAAGCTCATATGAACGTTGCAAACTATTTTTTGTACATCCATACAAAAATGTTTGCATACAAATACATAAACTCACAACAATTATAAACTACGTACAAAACAATTTAAATAAATGGAAATTAAATAAGTTAATTAAGAAAATATACCTCCGAGATTAATGGCAACACATCTAGAATGGCTGGAAATTTCAGCAGGAAGGCAGCTGCTACAATTGTTTTGCAACTTATGCCTTCTTGCATTTTGGTTAAATTCAGTAAAGTGCAAAGACTTTGCGCGACGAAAGAACCGCCACGCAAAACATGGTGCTTCCACTTTTGGCACATCCAACTACGTTTTGCCGCGTTTTTATAACACTTTGCGTGACGAACCACATTTTGTCGTGCTTTTTTAAAAAAAAATTTGTGCGACAAACCATGTTTCGTCACGCATTACCTTTTTTTTTTTTTTTTTTTTAAAGTTCTTTTTTTGAATAAAGAAATTTTGAATTTTTCCATTCAGTCTTCAATTTTTTTTTCAACCAATATAAATACTTAATAAATCAAGAACTTATTTGATTAAACCCTTCATGCATAATTAATTAATATAAATATTTATTAACATGCATTAATTTTATTCGAAATAAACATTAAGTATGTATTTAATTAATCATTTCATAATACAAAAACATCTAATTCATATCTCATTATTAAATAAGCAATAAAATTAAAATAAAAACCATTATTCTACTCCTTCGCTGGTAGTTCTGCTGCACGTTGATTATTAAAGTTCTTATCCCGGAAATGAGACTTGAAGATGTTGTCGATAGCCTTCATCAGATTTGCGTTACTTTTATCAATGTCCCAATTAGGCTGTCATGTGAAAATTAATAAATTAAAATCTCACCATTATATTAAATTTAATAAACATAATTATTATTTAACTAATAACTTAACACATACAACTAACTCATCAATCAAGTGCATTTTCATCTCCTCGAGGACGGCACTCCAAGACTACCAATCTGCAGCACATTTGTCGCGCACCAATACTCCAACGTCAGACCAAATGCTGGCATGCATATCTGACTTCACAACCCCTATTAATTTGTTAGCAGTGATTTTGTAACGGCTCCCACCATAAGTGTGTCAAACTTGTACCACAACTCTTTTCTTCTTGTCTATCAACAAAATATATATTCATAATACTGAAGCTAAATAAAAACTTTATACAAAATGTAAAATTTACAATACAAACCTTTTCCGTAACCTTCGCCATCCATTGTCTTTGATGAACATGCACCATAGTAGGCCATCGTACCAACAATCAAAGAACAAATTGATTATAATCTGCAAAATAGTAAAGCGTTTCCGAAACGAATTGTGAAGAATAAGGAGAGTAAAAGCGCATATTTATAGGAAGGTCAGGGACTTTGCGCGACAAAGCCTTTGTCGCGCAAACACTTGTACTAAATACAATATTGATTATGCTGATTCGCATGCACTAAATGCTCTGGCATAAAATCTGAATGACTTTTGAGCGACGAAGCCTTTGTCGCGCAAGGTTTTACCACCTTACGCGACAAATGGTTTGTTGCGCAAAACATATAGATTCGAAATATGGCGGTAAACTAAACCATGTTTTTTGCGCCCTTTGCGCGATGAAATTGTTGTTGCGCAAAGTTTATAGTGACAAAATTACGTAATTAATTGTAATTATGAAGTTTACATAAATATAGATCGTAATTATGAAGTTTACGTAAATATAGATCGTAATTATGAAGTTTACGTAAACATAGATCTTTAATATCCATTTTTACATAAACTTCATAATTACAAACAAATATTCAATTATAATATTTATTCTAAAAATAATTAAAAACTTAAATATATTGAATTAATCTATTCAATTATTTAAACAACAAAACATGAATTCAAGTCTAATTAAGTCCAAATACATAACCTATAAAAAAACCTTAAAATTAAATATTGTCCTCAAGAACATAAATTTAAAACTTTTGTTTCACTGGTCCTCCATTCTACTTCACATCATAACGCCACTGCTTGTAACCCCCTTCAATGCCTCCTCCATCAATTTCATCAACTCTTCGTTCGTATCATCAAGAGTATAGTTACATTGTTACACATATATGCAAATAATTAATTACAACATATAACAAAAAATTTCACAAAATTAATTATTTTCAACATTTGTCACACTTACTAATAATTGATCCATCATTGCCTTCTTCACATTCTCAGATACATATTTCCAAGAACGCCACTCAATAGTAGGACAGTTGTTTCGTATTGCTACATCAATCGCATGTGCAAACTCCACATATTGCCTCATATCATAGGGCTCGGGGGCCTTGCTCTGCTCTCATTTTTATCCTCCATTCTTACACGAACAGAATTGTGAAGAATAAGGAGAGCAGAAGTGCATATTTATAGGAAAGTTAGGGACTTTACGCAATGAAGCCTTTGTCGTGCAAACATCTGCACTAAATACGGTATTGATTCCTTTGATTCACATACACTGAATGCTCTGACTCAAAAACTCACTGGACTTTGTGTGACAAATCATTTGTCGCACAAGTTTTCTGCTAATTCGCATGCGTTGAATGCTTTGATCCAAAAACTGAATGAACTTTGTGCGACGAAGCCTTTGTCGCACAACGTTTCCGTAGGAAAAACTTCGTCATGCAAAAAAAAAAAAATTACCCACGTTATTTTTACTGACTTTGCGTGACGAGTATCTTTTTTTCGTTGTGCATACTTTATTGCGCAATGCGCAAAGTAGCATCATTTTTGTGCAACGAAGCTATTGATTTCGTTGCGCAAAACACATAGGCGCGACGAATTTTGCTTTGTCCCCCAAACATCTGTCGCACAAATGGTTTTTCCTACTAGTGTTTAAACAACTATGGTTTTTGTTGATGTGTTTTGTCCTCTAGAAGTTAGTATTTTTCAATGCCACTTTCTATCACGTCATCGGTAGTAAAATTGTTATGTAATAATGTGAGAATTGAACACTATAATGGTTGACTCTTAATAACGTAATTCGTTTTTAAATTTTCATTCCCATACATAGTTTTGAATAACTTCCTCTTCAATGTATGACTAATGAATTTTTGGCATCTCTAATGTTATCATTTCACTTTTGAACTTGTTGTCTTCTCATATTAAAGAAATGCTAAGGAGACTCTTTAAAATGAGACTCTCTATGGACTCTTTATTATCTTATGTTTTTGGTATAATAATTTATAATGTTGACATGAAAAATTGAAATTAAATTGTAAGGTGACAGTTCATAAAGAGTTTCCTTATCTCACGTAGATTAAAAGCTTCAAAGTAATTAAAAGGTGCATTTTGGGTTTAGAGTTAGACTGTTGGGTACACATAATGAAAGGGGGTTTGAGAACCTTCTCCAAACTTCCATTTGTAATTAGTGTTGTTAATTTCTTCCCCCAAATTTTCTACCCTCTCCATTCACAACGGGGCAATCAAAAGTTAATAATATGCTTTGCCCAAACCGAAGTACCCAATATATAGGGTAAAATTGTGACCCATATATTGGCTGGCTTTACAAAATTAATAACAAAGGAACGATACATACTATTGACATGATTTGCCCTTTATAGTTGATGACACCTAACAATTTCACCTATTCGTGCTATATATATGTATGTGTGTGTGTGTGTGTGTCTATATATATGTATGTATGTGTGTGTGTGTGTGGGTGTGTGTGTCTATATATATATATAAACTCAAACTTTCCATACGTCCAGTGATTTAAAGGAAGTGCTACTGTATGGGACCAATTAAGGCACGCTACAAGCATGCCACAAATACGAATCGTAACAACCTTTGTTCTTGAAAATAAATAAAATCAAAATCTGGCCTTGAATAGTAATAACAAATCAATTTCACTGTCTCCTCTTTCTCCCTCTATATATAGAAGATATAACATCCACCCCCAACCCAAACCCAAACCCAAAGCACAAACAACTCCTCCTCTCCTTTTGATTTACCTCCCCCCCATAAATCCAACCCTGAACTCCATTAGCAAAAACGAAACATGGCTGACACCAAATCCCAGGGATTAGTTTTCCCCACCATCAACAGCAAGAAGAGAGCCGAGCACGACGACATAGACAACGAAGACTATGTTGCCGCCAAAAAGTCCATGTTGCTGTCCTCGGCTGCAGCTGCAGCCTGGGAAGACCCAGCCGCGGCATTAGCCAGTGCTCGCCATGAGTTTGGTGAGCACGGTGGTGTCAACATGTCGATTGAGGCCTCCGCCACGTTCACCGTGATGGAGCCCGAGACTCTTCGCAAAATGTTCTCCGGCGAGCTGGGTGCCGACCGCGACTTCTTCATCTACAGCCGCCACTTTAACCCTACCGTGCTCAATCTCAGTCGCCAGATGGCAGCCCTCGAGGGCACAGAGGCCGCCTACTGCACGTCCTCTGGGATGTCAGCCATATCCTCCGTCCTGCTCCAGCTCGTCAGCAGCGGGGAACACATCGTCGCCTCAAGAACCGTCTACGGAGGGACCCACGCCCTCATGTCCCACTTCTTCCCCAGGGCCTGCAACATAACGACGACGTTTGTGGACATCAACGACATGGACATGGTGAGGAATGCTATTGAGGTCGGGAAGACCAAGGTACTCTATTTCGAAGGCATGTCGAACCCGACTCTCACCGTCGCCAACATACCGGAGCTCAGCCGTATCGGCCACGAGAAGGGGGTTACGGTTGTGGTGGACAACACGTTTTCTCCCATGGTTCTCTCTCCGGTGAAGCTTGGTGCTGACGTTGTTGTTCACAGCATTTCCAAGTTTATTAGCGGCGGTGCTGATATTATTGCAGGTAAAAGTAGTAAATATTTTCCTTATAGTTTGTTTGTGAGATTTTCTTTAACTTCTGCGGTTCGAAAACTATTGAATATGACAGTATATCGTCAATTATATGACTGGATTGGTAACGTGCAGTATCACATAAAAAATGTGACCTAAAGCTGTTTATAAAAATGAAATCTAATAACGCTCACGAAGAGACTGAGTGTAAGATCATAATTTAGTGATTTTACGTAAATGCGTGCTAAGTACTTTTAATCTATAGAATAAAATTTAGGACAAATAATTGGAATGATTCGTTTTTCACATTTAGTTGTAAAATTAATCAGTTATTTTTTTTTAAATAACAATGGCATATTAATTAAGTGGTCGATAATAAATTGATTACATAAAGACCACAATAATATAATGACATGTAAAAACTGATCTTCTCTACAACCAAATATCAAATTATTTTAGTTAATTGTCCTAAATTTTATGAGTTTGCAAATGAGGCATATTGATGATGGTTATATAAAGGATAATACTAGGGAAATCAAAACTTAAGTGTTAATTAACCTGTTTATTTTCTTATTTGGAACGCATAATTTGATTTGTAAAAATTTTTTTGATCTCATTTATATTATAGGTTATATAATAAAAGCATGGGGAGTTCAGACCGAAAAAAAAGTATTGACCGGGAGTAATACTTTTAGCGAGGTGGGGAAGGGACCGGTTTGGATTCATGCGAGGGTGTTACTTTTTCGACTCGTGATTCATGTCTTGTTATATTTAGATAGCAAGACAGGTGTTTCTGTTCGTTTTTGTTAGCTTGTGTTATTTTTAGATACCATACGTTTATGTTTGTTTGTGTTTTTGTTAGATATTGTTTGTTTGGTGTCGTTTTCCATCTGCAACCTTACTTCATGATTAACATGGGTGAGTTGAGGTAGGAATTGTATTCTTCTTACTAGAATATCTTATGCGATCCTTGATTTGATTTTTCACTGTTATTTTCCATGTTCACTGTAAGACTTCATGTGATGTTCTGTACAAAAATTAAAAGAAAGGGTGAAACAAAAAATATTAATTCGAATAAAAGAGAACCATAATTTAAGTACTAATGTCATCGTCACATAATCTAAGATGTTATATTCACATTCTATCAATTTTTGTTTATCTGGTCATATTAATTTAATCACTTTTTTTTTAATGCGTCATCTATTTTTTACCTTGGGAATTAAAGCTTTTACAATTCTAACTTTTTGACAATTTTAGATCAAGATAAATATGTTTCGATCCTTCATTTCGCCATTTAATATATAAGTTCTTAATAATTTATGTATAAATCTATTATCTTCGAAAAATGAAGAGAAATACTACTAGAATGTTCACCATTTCCAGCTAACATGATTTCTCATTATTTGTTAAACCCTTTCGTATTTTCTCTTTGGAAAGTAGCTTTTGTGATTAGCAACAAAATACCAAACTTTTTTGTGGCATAAATTTTTTGCAGGTGTTGTGTGCGGACCTGCAAGCCTGGTGAACTCAATGATGGACCTACACCAAGGCTCCCTGATGCTCCTGGGTCCCACAATGAATGCCAAGGTAGCATTTGAGCTCTCTGAGAGGATTCCCCACTTAGGGTTGAGAATGAAGGAGCACTGCCACAGGGCAATGATTTATGCCCAAAGGATGAAGAAGATGGGCTTAAAAGTAATTTACCCAGGGCTCGACGACCACCCACAGCACGAGCTTCTCAAGGCCATGGGAAACAAAGATTACGGGTACGGAGGGCTTCTGTGTTTGGACATGGGGACTGAGGAAAGAGCCAACAGACTCATGAATCTCTTGCAGAACTGCACACAGTTTGGGTTCATGGCTGTGAGCCTAGGGTACTATGAAACTCTAATGTCCTGCTCTGGAAGCAGCACAAGCAGTGAGATGAATGATGAGGAGAAGGCTCTGGCTGGGATCTCACCGGGGCTGGTGAGGATGTCGATCGGGTACATTGGGACGTTGGAGCAGAGGTGGAGCCAGTTTGAGAAGGCAATTTCTAGAATGCAGGAGTCTGGTTTGTTGAATAAGAAGTGAAAGTAAACATGTGTATTTTTCTGTGTTTTGTGGTGGGTCTATGAATAAGTCAAGTGTCTAAGAGCATATAGCTGTGTTGGTTGTTGCTCTTGTATAAAAAGATGTCTCCCTTGGCCAGTTTCGGACGATGAATCATAACTATCCTTTGTGTAGTTCTAATATTGTTTCTATATTTTGCCTGAATGCTTTTATAAATTTATGGCACCACCAATTTCCATAGAGAAAAAAAAAATCCTGAAACAGGGTGTCTCGCATATATAAGCTCATGTGCCGCTCGCATGATGCGTGAGAGCCAGTTTTTACTATTTTTATGCTCTAAAGATGTCACACGTTCCTATAACAATATTGGCCATGTGGGTGATCATATAATCACATGGAGCTTCTTGCCAAAATGGGCCATAATTAGGGAAAACATCTGTGTTCTTTTGGTGCAGAAAGTTAAATTGCAGCATCTGTTGCTTAATATAGGTTGTAAATTGGAATAGCCATAGAAACTTGGCTGCAGGGCACAAAGCTCCCAAGTACATCAAATCGACCACCACCTAAAAATTAGGTTTTTTAGTAGTGGTTTCAAGTTGTCTATCGTCTTAGGATCGAAATCAAGATTGATGTCAGGAATCAGGATCCTTGTTCTCACTGGCAGCTGCAGTTTCCCTCTTTTTGGCGACCTGGGACACTTGCTTACGTGTTGAAGAAACGTATGACGCTGTAGTCACCTCATGTGTATTCATTCATTTACTTGGACTTAGGAACAGTGGTGAGGCGTTTAAAATTAAAATTGATTTTGAGCTGAAACTTGATTTTGGATTTAACTAATTGTCCATGATTACTTTTTGGGTTGAAGGTTTTTATCAAATTGGGTTTTAATTGATTGAGTTTTAATTGGTTGTCAAATAATTAGGTTTAGCAAAAACATTCACGAGCCCATCATGCCCTTGCAGCCACTAGTTATTCTCTAGCCCATTTGCATATCTTGTAGCATAAACATCTTATAGCAAAACTAGGGAAATTGAGCATAACATCTTATAGTATAACTGCTGGTTTACAAAGGGATACATTTTCACGCATGAAGATTGAGGAGGGCTAAGCCTTGATAACGGTTCGTGCTCTAAAGTGTTACAAAACCAAGTTCAGATGTCTGCCACTTAGAGGAGACAAGTAGAAAGCAAGTAATTTGTACTACTCAGGTAGCAGGAGCATGAGGACGAGACTACCTTCTAGTGTTGAGTCTAGTAAGTTGAGTTGGCGTCAATCTCTTACATTTGTTTGAATAATAGTAGGTTGTTTTTAGACTAGGAAAGTGTGCAAGGATGTTTTCCTGAGTGGTACAGTTTTACCTCGTTACATCGTTGTGCACTCTAAGTTGATTTTGAAGCTTCCAAGTTATCGTTGTAGTATAGTATTGATCTATTCTCGTGATTTAATACAAGACATGACTGTAATGCTATTTCGATCATGCGAACTAGTTTAGCGAAATTGAACTAGTTTATTTAAATTTGTGTACCATTCCACTGCATTTCCAAACGCACCTCCGGTTCCCTTTTAGTTCTATGTTAGCGGCTTGAGTCTTCATTCTGGCCAATGTCGAATTGGGTTTCAGAATGGATACTTTGATTCTTTCTTATTGGGCACTTTGAGGCCCAAACAAGCATGTTCAGTTGTCGTTTAAGTTGTGGAAATAGTTTAAGGTGTCGGGTGCACTAGGAAAATGGATTGGACGCATATAGAGCAAAGAGCGCAACCGCAATATTGAGGTAAGGAGAATGAAACCCATGAACTTGAGTGTAAAATTAAATGTAACCATTTTTGACTAAATAAAGCACAAATGATTATAAACGTTTGTTGAGAATGAATCCTGCATTGATGGGAGAAGGGATCTTGTATGAACTTATAAGTAAGTTAAACTCTCCATATAGCTGATTGGTTTTATCATAGAACCTCAATTTTCTTCGTTATATCAAAGCAAGTTGTCCTGTATGCAGATTGCTTACCAGCTATAAGTGGTCCACATCACCCGATTTGTGTTGTCCATACACGTGGGGGGCGTGCTAAGAGTAAAGTTCAACATCGCAGAAAGAATGGACCTTGCATGTGCTTATATGTAATTGGGCAGCTCCCAATATTACAAATTGATTTTATGGTGGAACTTCAACTTTCTTTATGGTATAAAGTATGTAAGTTGTCCTGCGTATGAAGCCTAATGGCTACATGTACTCCACGTCATCCCGTTGTGTCCACGTGTTAGACTTGAAAATTCGTCACATGTGAGGGGGCATGTTGAGAATGAATCTCACATTGATGGGAGGAAGGACTTTGCATGAGTTTATAAGTAAGTTTCACTACTCTCCCAAATGGACAACTATCTGTTTTTTATTTTAGCAAGCTGTAAGTCCCGTGGATTATGATTAGTGTTCATCTTTAACTATTAGCTAGCAATTTTTTATTGGAAGATTTACGATACCTCAATTAGAAGCTTCACTTTTATATTGTGATAATCAAGCAATTTTACATATATCCGCGAATCCAATTTTTCATGAGAGGACACAAAATATTGAGATGAATTTTTCATTCGAGACAAAACAATTGATGGCACGACCACTACTTGACATATGGCGTCATTGCAACAACCAGTAGATGTTTTTACAAAACCTTTTGGGCAAGGAGAAGTTCTCGGTTATGATACGAACTTGGGATTTCTCGACCTTCATTCTCCAACTTGAGGGGGAATGTTAAAAAGGCCTCTTCTTTGTCCTACAAAAGTGGCTTGAGCCATCTTTACATAAATTTGTTAACGCAATTTCCATCCACTAAAGGGTGAGTGTTAATTAGGTTCATTGAATAATTAGGCTAATTAAATCTTCTACATAGGTTCATTAACTCTTCTACATTAGATTTACTGTAGAAAAAGTGAATGATGTGTATTTGCAATTAATTTATGTATTTGTATTTATTATATGTTGTACAGGTTCATTAACTCTTCTACATTAGATTTATTGTAGAAAAAGTGAATGATGTGTATTTGCAATTAATTTATGTATTTGTATTTATTATATGTTGTACATTTAAGGATAAGTGAAAAACAAGTTGAGCCAAATACGTTTTTCTATGCAAGTGGTATTGACTAGCATAAGAAGGGTAGTATCGTCAAGGTCAAAATGTGTAAAAGTGATATAAAAGACAGTTAGTTAGTTAGAGTTGGGAGGTTTTTTAAAGCTTAGGAGATAAGATAACACTTGTATATATAAGTGTGAAAGATCTTGTAAGCAGTAATCTGATTTGTAATACACAAAATATCATATCTCTCTATCTCTCTTCTCTATCATTCTTTATCTCTCTTCTCTATTGTATTTTCTGGTTTTCTTGATGAACACTGTTATCATGGTATCAATCGCTCGGACGATTCTTGGTGCCGTTTCTTCCGCTGGAGATTAAAGAACTGCGAGTGATGGTTAATGCTGGCTGCAAGGTCATAGCGTTTTTCTGTCAAAAAGGGTCAAGGGGTTCGTTCATATCAGGTTCTTGGTTTCTGTTTTCGCATTGCACACCATCTGTTTGTGATATGTTCTAGGTGAAGAGTGCGTGTTCTATTTCTATGAATTTGAAGGCCGATAGCCATTGTTAGCAAGATCAAAGGCCGATAGCCATTATTTGAGTTCGTAAGAGGCCGACAGCCGTTGTTTGATTGTGAAACGTGCTTGTTTGTCGAAGAAAGAAAAAGCCCGATAGCCATTGGCAAAGAAGGGTAGCATATTTAGGGGTCAAGGGCATATTTTGGTTAGGTGTTTGGTATTCAAATGGCGTCTAATGTCAAGATTGAAGGGTTGCTTGGGATGCTTACGGTCAAGCTTCAGGATGACAATTTTGTTAAATGGAGTTTCCAGTTCCAGTTTATTCTTCGGGGATATGATCTTTTTGATCATTTCACGGGTGAAGATCCATGTCTTTCGAGATTTGTTATTGATACAGAGTCCGGAGTTACTACTGAAATTACTGTGGCATATAAAGATTGGGTGAAGAAGGATCTAGCCTTGCTCAGTCTTCTCATTGCTACACTATCTGATGATGTTATGGAACATATTATTGGTAGTAAGACTGCGTGTGGGGCCTGGACTTGTTTACAAGAAAGATTTGCGTCTGTTTCTATGATTAGAATCAATCAACTGAAAAGTGAGTTCCACACTATCCAAAAATGTGGGGAATCTGTGGATAGGTTTCTTTTAAGGGTTAAAGCCATTAAGGATCAACTAGTTTCTGCTGGAGAAAGGATCACTGAGAATGATTTTCTTATAGCTGTGCTATCTGGCTTACCTCCTGAGTTTGAGATGATAAAGACTGTGATATTGGCTCGGGATTCTCCTATTTCATATAAAGATTTGAGGGCTCAACTTCTTGGGGTAGAGGCTAATATTGAATCATGAATGAAGTCTTTGAGTACATCCATGGCGGCGATGTATGTTCATGGAGATGGATCTGGCTCCAGTGCTTTTCAGAATAATCATACTGGTTTTGAAGTTGGGCAAAGTTACAACTCTCACAGATTTCAAGGGGAGTTTGATGGTGAACATTCTAATGCATTTCATGGTGGTTCAGGCTTTGTGGGGAATGGTGACAGGTTTGTCCAGAAGCTCAATTTCTCAGGGGGCAATATGAGGTATAATGGCAATTATAACAATGGTAATTTTGATCATAGAAGTACTAATGGTTCAAGAAACTTCTCTGGTAATGGAAATCCATCTGGTCACAGAGGGAACAATGGCAGTTTTAATGGCAATTTTTCTGGCAATGGTAAAAGTGTTCAGTCACAGAATGGAAGTAGTTTCTATGGTAATGGTTTTCAAAAGAGTAATACCTAGAATGGCAATACATCCTACAGATCTGGTGTGTTACCTGAGTGTCAAATATGTTCTAGGAGGGGACATACAGCAGCTAATTGCTATCACAGAGCTGCCATTGGAAATTCAGGGTTCCTTGCTTGTCAGATTTGTGGGAAAAGAGGACATATTGCATTGGAGTGTTATCATCGCAATAATTTTGCTTATCAGGGTACTCCACCACTTTCTTCCTTGACTGCAATGACTGCACAGGCTCATATTGGACAGAATACACCACAGAACACTGGACATGGGTTATCCACTGGGGATACTTGGATTCT